ACAAGATAGTTCTAGAAACTAGAGGGCGCCACAGTAGTCATGTGACTCACTGACGCAACATTATGTTTTTTTCTCCCTTTACAACCTATTCCTCCTTTTGCGAATGCATGAGAAGGCAACAGGATTTCATACATTAGCTATATGGGTGGTTTTAAATACAAAGATGAAAAATCCTAAGAGGTTTTTGTGAATCAACGTCATAGATTCGTTACTGTCTATACAAAAGTAGAAGAATCATAGACACACCTTTCATGTACCCATAACTTTTAAAAAAAACTTTTGGCATGTGTGTAATGTTCAATCTTAAAAACTCACAATTTTTAAAAAACAACGATTATTTTATACACAATTCTATAAAAATGAGATTGTTTCCAGTCTACAAATTACTAAGATACGATAGCTTACTGTACAGGATAAAAAGTGGTTTAAAAAACCCCGATGAAACTAGAAAACAATCTCATATACTCTACATGTTTCGACCTATACTACTGCGTCATCCTCAGGAGTGCAAAAAATAACAGTTATTTATACAATTATCAAAACACCAATTTACATATTAAAGAATTTCACGCCATCTGCTGATAACATTTCCACCAGGTCCATCATCCTTATTCAATAATTTAAATTTACTTTTTTTTACTTTTTTTACATTATATATATTACTTGTATATTATTATGACGACAGAAAAACAAAGTAGGCATGGACTGAATGTTGGACACGCCCACTTGTGAGGTTGTACAGAGGAAATTTTATTACACCATGCTCATTCCTACCTTGTTTTCTCACTTTCTGATGCACCCATTCCCACACTTTCAATTTTGTAAAAATTTTTTCCACATGTTCATACACTTTTTTTCATACAAGGTGATATGATCTTACGCATCACTCCACTCGTTCATTTGTGTTGATATCCTGTGTGGGTGTGCATCATAATATTATGGTATTTGCAAATAATGGTGTATGTATGTGTGGTATGCATTCTCTTCTCTTATGGTGTGCGTACACATTGTGAGAGTACATGTGATGGCACACATTATAGTGTGCAGTGTCATTTGGGTGATGTAGTATGAGTTGTGTGTATATACTAAGGGTCGATAAATTAGTTAATTAATTCAATTTACTGTCCACGTGACTGATAGTCAATCTCGCGTCAACAATGTTTCTCAAATCTTTAGGAGAACACTCTGTTTGCCATAAAAACGATCGCTCTCGCTAACTTTTGCATATTTAATGCTACAGTAATACTTCTTAATGGGAATACCGTGATTATCGTGAATAACTAGAGAGGGAACTAAATGTTTTCCATATCAAAATCAATATGAAGCTTAAAGCAATTAAAAAAAGTATCTAACTACTTCATCTAAGAAAACCTAGTAGTTTTGGGTACTACAACCCGAAGTAACTCATAAGTTAGTGATCTTGATTTTTTGTTTTTACCATAGTCTCAGAGGTGAATGTTCATTCATAAGGGCTAGGAACTCTCAAAGGAGCTTAAGGCTTAAAAACGAACGCATCCATAGAATTATTGGCTTATTGAGGTGTTTTGAAAACACAAGATTTTAATGGATATCCATTAATATTCCTATCTAGATACGGGGGTCCTTTTTTAAACGTTAATGGCTTTTAATTTTAGTTTAGTATTTTTATGCGACAGCATTTAACAATATAAGAATTTCAAATATGTCATATATTTGTTAATAAGTTAGCTTTGGAGCACACATTGCCATCGTTTGATAGTGGAAGAGCAGTGCTTGTATTGCGATAGCTTCTATTACGCTAGTGGTGTCGCTGTGATTAGTCAATTTGAAAACGAGATTATCTGGTATAAACAAGCCATTCCCAATATTGCGATAACCGTCTTGGCCTAGTAATTTGAAAATAATTCTCGATCTAACACACAGTGAAATAAACGATATTGTTAAAAAACATTCTAAGACCCTCATTCATGGATTCAAAATGGATAAGTTTTATGCAGTTTTATACAGATCCATGATTTGCAAGGTAAGTCATCACTAGATATGGGCGTTTTAATTTGCAGTTTTATAGTTATACACGTTTCTTCACTATCCGCTTTCGAAGCTACAACAACACAATAGCTATCGACTCACTCTTTCTTTAAACAGAATGTTAATGAGGAAACACATTTATTTATTTTGTCACTTTGATAGATTTAATGTTGTTTTCGTAGTCTAATATGATAGAATTTCTGAGATGTCGATAATTGTGTTGTGAATGTGTATTAATTAAACATCATGACATGATTATAATTAATTGAATCACAGAACATTAAGATATTTGATAATTAACATAACATGTTGTGATATTTTTTCTGCTCTATAAATGTAAGAGTAATGTCAAAAAAGCATTAAACAAAGCCACCATTAAAGTAGGAGGGTTTCACTGCAATACATTTTAGCACTGCAGGACAGCCAACACAGTACTCACAAATAACACACATAAGGCTATGGGAGTAAATATGTTTGAGGTTACGGTTATTAAGTTCTTATTGATAGATCAAAAAGAAAATAAGACGGAGGAGAAGAACCACATAACCTGCATGTATTAATTTTTGAAATTGTCATGTGTCTCTCATAATTATTTATTAGTTTAAGTGGTTATTAGAAGACGTGATTGTATAGAAGTATCTGACATTGACGGGCCGAGGAAGAGGCACCTAGAAGCTAATAGCCTACATGACCCCTAAACCATCAGTGTATAGACTATACAGTTCATGTAATTAACACGTTACAAAACATTGTAATATATAAAGCTATACAAACACGTATATCTATAGCAAGTAGTCTTAATGAAGTTGAATATTTAGATCACCTTATATCTGTAACAATATTTTAGATGATAAAAAGGTGTGGTAAGGAATACTTAAGAAATACTGTTTTAGCATGTATACTGCACAATTGTTTAGGAATTTGAATAAGAAGAGTAGCATGAAAATAAACTGTGTCCTACTGCAAAGTACAATCATTTTTAAGTTATTGCTAAAGAAATTTTTAAGTTTTACTTGCAATGAATTGTTTACTCGTAATTATGTTCCAAGCAGCCTTACTGTCATTAGAAATTTGTGTTATAGAGTCACGATTATATTGGACAGTTTCAGTGATAAATTAAAATAAAGCATAGTACATAGCGATATTTATTATATTTCATGGTTAAAAAGGCACTGCTGTATGATATGGGTTGTATGTATATATGTCTATAGTATATATGATTTTGTCTATTTTTTATTGTATGTTTTCTTTCTACTATTATGTATTGTATTGATATAAGATAAATTTATATTAAAACAATTATTAGTTGATCTTGACATAATTTATTTTAAAAGAAGATGTTGATTATTCAATGCACCAAGCGTCTCATAAGTTTCCGTATTATCATCCATACAAAAACTTGCTTCTAACTAAATTAAACATAGCTTACCTTAAACTTAAGACCGGGATCATGTCTTGTGTTGTGAGCTCATCTCTTGCCTAGTTGTAAATTTTGTAAATATGTACAATCCAATTTTCTTGATAAACCCGAAGTTATTTGTGCAAAGAGGAACGCAGCCGTAAACTATTGTTTCAAACAAAGATCTTGAGTGGATAGCCTCGCTTTCAAAACGTTTTTGAGTAAGATGGCGGATACGTGTTAATCTCCTTATACCTGAGAACCAGGGTTTACAAAATGTATGCTATTATGTTTGATCACCGAGTAGGCTTATGCAGTTTGCATAGTGTGTTTGCGATTTTCCTTGGAAAATTAATTAGACTTGTTGATCAAATTGAAAATCTCGAAAACATTATGATTACTTTGGCAGACGAGATTAAATAGGTAAATATTTACGTACTATTTTTTAAATTTAATGTAAATTATAATGATACTAAAGTTCGTTGAAAATGAAATAGTGGACTCTTTTTATTGAAAAATATCGTAAAGTTTCACACAGGAAAATAACTGACGTTAAAAGTTAAGATAAAATTTAATTTTTAAAAATTAGTAAAAATTTTTGTTTGGTTTAATGTATTACATTATTAACAATAATATTTCCAGGCTTGATTTTAGGCCTAGTTTCCTGATATTTTTAACAAGGTGCTAACACTACTACTAGGCCTAGTGATATATTATTACTGTTATCAAGAAACAGAACTATACTAAAATCGGTAAGTTAATACATCAGTGATCAAATGCCTATGCGATATTTTATGCCTACAACGTATCCTTACAGTTATATTTGACTGTACAGTCGTAATAACATTAACTATAAATAAGAATACAACATCTGCCTTACCCTAGTACTAGTAGTAATTATCTGTTTTATTAACATTATTAATTTTTGTCAGGATAACTGTTATAATATAAATTTTAAGCCCAAGTAAACATTTACGTTGTGTGAAGATATACTTATAAGTTATAGTTATACTTTTATAGGTTTATCATAATTAAGCATTGTAACAAAATTTCAATATGGGTTAGGACATAGTAGGCTTTCTTAATTTATTTTTAAGTTACAGATCTAAATATTACTTCTTAAGATGTGACTTCCAGATTGTTTGAAGCTTCTTAGGCTGAAGTTTATAAAGTAAATTTAAATAATTCAGAACTGTGCACATTAGATTTAGAATGAAGGATAATAATATTGTTTATGACTACATTTATGTACATTTTTTCTGCTGCAAAATTATGTAGTAAAATCTCGATTAGTTAAGCCTATGGATTAGTGGAACTCAACTGGTTTTGGAAATGTTTGCTCTTAATTTAGATATTTTTATTTATATGTAAATCTATGTATATTTTCAAAAGTATAGGGTAACCCAACAGACTAGATAAGTAAAATATTTTTTAAAATTTGACACTAAAATAATGAAATTATAAAAAGATATTGTCATTATGGTTAGTTTTTATAGGTTGTACAATCACATATATCTAATTATTAGAGAAAAATATTTGTGTTTCTATCAAGGAGGTTTAGGATCAAATCCTTACCTCAGCCACCACATAAAGTCAGTTTCAAGATTCCCTTGAAGGTGATAGCATATGAGCAGCCAAAATACAGGTTTAGAAATTTCATAAGTACTAATTGATAAAATAAAAGAGTAACTAATTATTGATTAAATGTATGTGATCATATATCATGCTGTTTATGATAACAGTTAACATGTAATTGCCACAATCTTATTTTAAAGACGTCAATAAATTTTGTTTTGCAGGTAAGTATTCTTTGTTTAACTACTTTTTGTACTTTTTAATGCCCTGTCTGCAAGTCAATGAGACCAAATTTGAGAGATTGGGTGGGCTACAGAGGGATGTCATAGTTTCTGATGTTCAAGTTAGAACCTGTAAAAGGTACTCTGATAAAGGGGTTCGATCTATTAACCTCAAAAGTCCACACTTTACTGTCAAAAGAACTCACCTCTTAACAAGCCTGTATCTGGGGTGTGTGTGTGTGCAAACGACCCTCCCCCTCCACTCCACCCCCCATTGGAGTTCTGCTTTCCTATTAGCATTTATTTATTTTTTTCCTTTCTTTGATGATGGCTTCTCATTATGTAATTGCTTTTATAACACTGTGCATACATGCAGAAATAGAATTTTCATACTTATCAGAGGAAATTTACTAGAAATGTTTATTTGCATTATTTGCAGTGATAATAAAAGAACCGTTACATATTTCGGAAACTTTTTCCATCCCTGGGCACTAAAGTTACACATGAGATGAGTTCCACTTTGGACCAAAAAGAGCCCTCCACGCAGACTTCCAGTCCTGGCTACGGGCTTGCTTGATAGTGTTTGGCCACAAAGATACAGAATTTAGTGGTTGACCAGACTGCGTTTCTCTAGCACAAAACAGAAGGGTTCAGGCAGGTACCACATTTAATCACCTTACAGTGGTGAGTAAGCTTTGTTGAGGTTTCTTTGGCTATGTTTGTTGATAGAACTTGAGAAAATGGCTTTATAGAGCTGAGGAACTAGATCTTTTATTGGCCAACACATGTAGCCACCACCTTGTTTTGTGTAAGATTTTGGATTAGGATATTGTTTTAACTCTCTCATAGCCTGAAAACTAGGGCAAGTTCAGCCACACTGATGAAAAATTCAAATCTTGGATATTGCAAAGAATTATAATCTATTCAGAATTAAAAACAACGAGAGAGAGTACTGGAAAGCTTCATTAGGAATCAACCCACCAAACATGTCGCCCTAACTTACAGACTGGGTGATAAGTATAAAATTAAGAAACTCCATTACTTGGTTGATTTACAGGAATTCTCATTTTTAGACATTAATGTATTTGTTGAAATCATAGATTATAAACAGTAATAAGCAAAGGTAATTCAAATGGCCATGCCCATGCTAAAATCAAGGTAGTATCTACATTCTGAAGCATTAGAAACTTTACCTAGCTAACTAAACATTACAGCCCAATATGGAACTATTCTTGCATCTCATTTTAAGTCATGCATTCTAAAAACATCCTATGTGTTATATTGTATATTATATTCTGTTGTGATTTTAATAATACATAATCTGGTAACAGCATTATGGTGGAAGCCTTAGCACAAGACTGGGATGATTCCCACCTTTAGTCTCCAGGAAAATGTCCTTAGTAGTTTCAGTACTAGTACAAATTGTAAACAACAATTTTATATATTTATTTTTGATTACAGTTGTATTACAGTCTTTTAGTTGATAGTTGTACAGAGTTAAATGATTTTTTCTTCCCTAATACCTATACATATATGTGTTTGTTTGTGTGTGTGTGTATGCATGCACACACACATTTTATAATTGTCCTTTGTTAATGTTTATTTATATCTTATTTTTTGATCAACTAAGTTAGGAGACTTGTCAGAAAGTCAATATGGTTCCACTATGGGAAAATTTTGGCTTGCTAATCTTTTGACATTCTTTGAAGAGGTTACTGCTTATATAGATGAGGATACAGGTGTGGATTTGGTGTATCTGGATTTTCATAAAGCATTTGACAAGGTACCACATAAAAGGCTTGTTAAAAATGTTATATCTGTAGGTGTGGGAGATATGTGAGCTCATAAGGTAAAAAGCTGGCTAGATGAAAGAAAGAAGAGGGTTGTTATAAGTGAAGTTCAGATCTCAGTGTTAGAACCTCTGCCCATTATGACTTACGCCAGTGAAAGATGAAGGAGTGGTCAATAGGTTATTTGTATTTGTTGATGATATTAAAGTTTTGGATGTTGCTGGCTGTGAGGAGGATGCTGCTGCTATAGAGAAGGATTTGGTTAATTGGGCAAATAAATGACTTTTAGTTATAATAAATGCAAGGTAATGCATGTGGGATATCACAATTTGAATTATGAGTATAATTTTAATGGCAATAACCTTAACAGTGCTATGGAAGAAAAGGATTTTGGTGTTCTGGTTCATCTGTCTCTTAAGCTATTCAAGCAGTGTGCTGTTACTAGTGGTAGGGCAAATAGGATTATGGGTTGTATCTACAGAAATATTGAATACAAGTCTAAAGAGGTTATAATTTCATTGTATAGGTCATTGGTTAGGCCACATTTGGAATATTGTGTTCACTCTTGGGCTCCATACCTTAGGAAAGACATTGTATTGTTGGAAAGGGTTCAGAGGAGGGCTACTAGAATTGTGCCTGGGATGAAGTGGTTGTCATGCAAGGAGAGGTTAAGATCTTTGAGAATGGTTTTCTCTTGAAAAAAGAAGAGTTAGAGGGTATCTGTGGTGTTTAAGATTGGTAAGCAAATTGATAATGTTGATGTGTTATCTTTTTTTGTATTTAATGGTGAAAATGGTAAGAATAAGGGACACAAATATAGATTTTAGCAGGATAGGAATCATCTTCAGCTGAGACAGCTTAATTTGTCTAACAGGATGGTTGGCCTTTGGAACGGGTTGCCTTCAGATGTGGTAGGTGAAATTAATTTAAGGGAAAGCCTGATAAATATTGGAATGATAAAGGCTGGCTTTGAGTTTTTTAATGTTTAGTTTAATTTAGGATAGCCTATATGGACCAAAAAAGTCTCTTATTGCCCTTTAATGTTATGTTAACAGTTTACAAGTGGTTGTGTTGTTACTGTACATTTGAATGATTAATGAAGGTCTTAAATTTTAATATCTTGTATTTTGTAATTGAAGATATTTTTTGAGTCTTCAATAAAAGGATTAGTGGATTTATTTGTCTCACTCAACCCCTTCTCTAATTACTATATGAAGATATTTTTATATTTTACATGCAATCACTAATTCATTCAAATTTTCATAGTCTACCTGGTCTTGATAAATTTCTTTGTGATTCTGTTAAATAGATGTTGTGAATGTTTTTATATATTGCATTTAAAGTTAATTTTAATTTCTTCCAGGTTTTTATGGATTTAGTTATTTAAAAAAAACATTATTTTTTTAACAGTAAGAATGTCAGAGGATACAGTGAATGGAAAGAGTATTCTTGCTGCAAAGAATGTGATGTCTCTTATAGTGATTCAAAGAGTTCAAAGTGAAATATACAGATATTGCCCAGCTACATATGTAACTTCTTTTTGAAAATTTTTTAACTTAGAGGTTGGTTAAGGGTTTATTAAAAAACAATGTACAGTCTCGTAATTAATTAATAAATGGTATTGAGTAGTCTTCTTAAAGGAAGAAATGTTTCATATTTGACGATAATTTGGTGTTTGTGATATGTGATTAACATCATATAAATGTTTCAGAAATGGCCAGGTGTAATGTATTACTTGATGTGTTTATTAGCGTAAAATGAATTTGTATTGTATATTTTTAAATTTTTAAGAAAATAAAATTATTAAACTTCTGATGGAAATTTGTCATTTAAATAGAATTACTATGTACCTTACTAATTGAGCAAGAAAATTGTCATGACTGTTGAAAATACACAATATAAGACTACAAGTACAAATTTGTATTGACAACAGAGAACATGAAGGGTAGGTTTACCTGTTTTATTATTTGATATACTCCAATTGAAAATCATGTGAAAAATAAATGCAAGTATGTCAGTATCTGCGATGTATTGGGAAAATCCCAAGAAATATGGAACTTTTAAAGTAAAAATTGGTGTTTTTTTTGTAAGTTTATTGTAATTCCAGTGATACTTTCATAAATATAAAAATGTTGAGAATAATAAAGCAATGATTAGTTTTGTATAGAATGATTTGAAATTTTTATAGATGATGTTATCATTTTATACAAATATGAGTTGGTGTCTATAGAATCAATGTTTCTATTTAGAAATCTTTGTAATAAATAACAATTCTAATAAAAAGTTTAGGCACATGTAGACAGTGTACTAGAAAAAAATATTAGTAGAAAAGTCATAGTAAGTTATTTGACTTAATGGTTATTAAAAGACCATGCCAAATTTTGTAGATATATTCAATTTCCTAGATTTCCTAGCTTTAAATAATTCCGTTAAAAAATTGGATAGGTTCTTTTGAAATGATAGAACAGAAGGGTGGAACTATAAATAACTATTTTTAATCTGGATGAGTATAAATCAGGAATCACTTAAATAGTTGATTTTACATTAAAAAATAGTATGATAAAATTAAGAGGTGATTAATTAGTAAAACTTAAGTTATTAAAATAATGTAACATTTTGACTTTATGAAAGAGTTGCATGAAAAGGAACAATTCCAAAATTATGTTTTAGCTGGGACCATAGTTAGATTTCAGGGGTGTAGTTATGAAATTGAAGTTTGTCTGAAGTCTGCGAGAGGAGCAAGTAAATTGAGGGTGCGTAGTGCCTGAGGGGGAAAAGGAGCTTACCCCCTCCTACGGTGTGGACATTTTTTGAAATATTTACCTTCAAATGGAGCACAATAGAGTACTTTTACAACCATTCAGGCGTACTTGATTGACTATCTTTAAACTAGAGCAATTGGGTAAAACATGCATGACATAAATTTAACATTAGGCCTACAAAGTAAAAAACACATATGAAACTTGTTAGATCTATCGTACAAATGTCAAGATGAGGAGCAACATAGCAACAACTTGGTATAATGGATTATCACAATATAATAGATGGCCTAAATATATATTTCTAAAAAAAAAATTATTGCATAATATTATGAGCTTGGGGAATCAAACCAAATTGAGAAAATTATATGTTTCTGGCAAGTTAGTCACTTCACTAATAAAAGTTCATTTAGTTGCTGACAAATATGTTATGGAACCTTTAAATTAGTTTAAATGTTCCAAAATAATTAATTCGCATTTGTTGCATTTGAATGAATTCATTTGCGACTTCTCTCAGGTCTAGCCCATCTGTAAAATCAGAATGAATGAATGTGTAAAATCATTAAGTGGTTAAGACGATACTGGGCCATTATTGTCCTCAAGTAGGTTTTCACAAGTCTGAGGCTGTTGCAGGATCTCTGACACAACATTTTACAGGCATAATTACAATCAGTTGACAAAGTGTTACAACTTCTGTTATAAGCCTTTTTTCAGCAGCAATCATAGTTTTAACCATTTGAACAAATGCCTTTACTGCTGTGACATTATTTGGAAAACATGCTCCTAAAGTTTGTATCTGAACTTTCAACTCTGAGCCAATAACGTCTCCTAATTCGTCTCTGTCTGTATTATCGTAAAAATTGATAATTTGGACAATCTCTGTGTCACAGGTTTCCTGGCTGGCAGCTTTCATCAGAACTAATTCCAACATTTGATAAATTCTATATTCAGGTTGGGCAAATCATTCCTTTATACAGTTTATAAGTGTGTCTAGAGCTTCAAAGGAAATTGCTGTAAGTCTGTCCTCAACACTCTCTGGTTCCTTCTTCATACTTTGGGTTTTGTTTTATTTATCCAGGCAACTGTGTCTTACTAATGTCCAGTGCATCAGCCTCTTTTTTCACTCTCTGGTAAAACATGTTGAAGCTTGCCTCTGAACTAATTACATGGAGCATCATGTTTGCCATCTCCAACATATTTTGGCCTTCTCTTGCACTTAGGTTAGCTATCTGGAGCCCTTTACTTAAATTGTCATAGTGGTTAAGGATGAATTCTCCCAGAATTAATACAAAGTAAGAATCAAATTTGTCCATAACAGTGTTCACCCCCATGATTCTGGATCACATTTCTGGGTCTTTAACCTTCTCTCCTGAAGTGTCCCACAGTTTCTGTTGTTCTGTTTGATGGATGCCATAGCTTGTCCATTTACCATCCATCTATAGGGCAGAGAACTTGGATACCTGGGGTTCTTTTCTTCAGCATCAGTGTTTTTTTCTTTAATCACTTTGAAAGTGGCATCCCTTCCTGGAGACTTCTTGATCAACTTGGTGATTTCATGAGTATAATCTAGAGCATCACGGAGGCAGCTAATTGATCAGAGGGTATCATGCATGGCCATAGCACTGGGTGTAGAGGGCCCTAGGTTCAGTGTTGGCGATTTGTCTAGCTACTCTTTTCTGATACCACTCATAGCACCAACCTTTTAACTTTTTCATGGACAAATTTCCCCTCAGCATCACATCTTTAATCACATGAACTAGTGAATTTGCATCCATTGAGCTCACAGAGTAAAGACCAACAAAATCTTCATGGACTTCACAGTTTTCATCTAACCTTCTGAAACACAGTGTCACCTGTTCTACATTTCCTATTTCAGTTTTCTCATCTATAAGAACTGTCAAAAACCTTGAACATTGCATCTTCCTGAAGATACACCTTAGGATATGATCACCCATAATTTCTAGAATTTCATTTTGTTTCTGCAGATGTATATTTGTTCCTTTTCTTCTGTAGCCATATGGCTAGTTTGGGGTCATCCTCTGCTTGCCTTCCCAAGAAATGTAAGTTTGAAATCAGTTTTAGCAAGCATGCCTTGCGATCATCTCTTTCTTGCTTGCACATGGAAAATGAGTATGTCATCTACATCTTATGTACATTCATTCCATAGTGCTTGGTCTTCACTAGGGCAAATGGACTGTTCATGGATTTGAAACAAGGCATTACCTTCCTTCTAGTTGCTATATCCTCTGGTAATGAAGGTATTGTCCAGACTGGAGTCGTTTCTAACGTTAATCTCATTGTACATGTTATTACATGCCACATAAAGGACCACATCTAGACTCTCAATGTAATGTAGCTACTCGTACATTTCAAATCAAGATGGTTTGCAATGGCTCGTCCTTGGATTCTTTTTCCCAAATACCCTTTCAGGAAATTTGTAGCCCTTTGTTTATAATTGTACTATTCACTCATATAATATACATATAGAGTCTGCAAGTTAACTTAATAATAATTTTCAAATACAAAAATGTATTCCCAACACATACAGTATATAGCCTATGTTTTTATCTGAGGAAGATATGACTGCAATAGCAGTTACAACACAGGAGCATACTAAATAACCCCATCCAAATCACTACAGACCCAGAGATGGATTCAGAATTTTTGGAAAATGTAGAGGGGGGGGGGGGTGTACAACCCTTGGACAGACGTGTGACAGCATGAAATGCCCATAAAACTAAATGACTTACACAACAGGGGGGGAGACCCCTTGACCCCCCTAATCTGGATCTGTTAA